TGCACCACCGTCTGTGGGTATGCCCACATGTGTGCGATCAGAGAGCGGAGCTTGCTAAGGACTGGATCATTGCTGCGGCCCTAGACACTGAGGCTGAGGACTACTCGGACCTCCTTTTTCTGCTTCGGGGCTTTCGCCCATCCCGCCGATACCCTTCCGAGGCCCTGCCTCGAAGGTAATGTGGTGTTCCGCTGGCATCGTGATCTGCTCGAGGGCCCCGAAGGTTTCGAGGCTCCCCAGGAAGGTGCTGTCTGGGGTTCGCTGTTGCTCGACGGGTCTTGCAGGCGGCACATAATTCGTGAACTTAGCCGTGCGTCGTGGGCCATCACGATGCATAACGACAGTGGGGACCTTTTAGGGGAGGTTATGGGGCCTGTGTGGGCTCAATACCCTCAGACCCCGCAGGCTGGAGAATATTTAGCTCGTGGCATGGCTGGTAATATGGCCGAGTACCCTTCCACCCTGTTCTCAGATTGCTTGAATGTGGTTAAGCATTCTAAGTTGCCTCCTGTCGAGCGCCTCTCGGGTAAGAGGGTGTACAGTGGCATAATCATGGAAGCCAATGCTCGAGAAGGCACGTGCATTAAGGATATTGTCAAGGTCGCGGCTCACAAAGATTTAGATGAAGCTGGCATCGACCAGTTTGAACGGTTTTGTCGCAAATGCAATAACGATGCAGACGCGGCGGCCAAAGCTGCGCTTTCGTTTCATGCGACTGATGTTAATGGCAGTGAAGATCTCAGCAAGAGGATTGACATTGCCAAATCAGTGTGTCGACTGGGGGGCCAAGCTTCTTTTAGAGTGGCCCCGTCTAGACTTATCTGATGCCGAATGCATTCCGCCTGCCCCCAAGCCCAGGTTTTCCTGGGACAAGCCTGGACACGACTGGGCCCCCTGGTCTGGTGTGTGGCGTTGTCGTGTTGGCTTGCTGGGTTCCAGGGCGTCTGGTGTCCCTGATCCTGGTATATGCACGGGCAGGTGCAAGCTTGATGAAGGTGTGCTTGTTTCACTGCGACATCGTGTTTTGGCTTTCTCCTGCAGTGACGGTTCGCACCTTTTTGTCTGCGTGAAATGCCGCTACCGCAGCACAGGTGCACGTGTGGACGGCCTCGGGAAGTTGTGTAACGATCGGCCCCCCAGGCATGCTGAGTATTCTTGGAGGGGCCTCTGCCGTGGAATACATCCGAACCCCAGGAAGCGGGATGTGACGGTGAACACTCACCAGATCTGTGCTCTGTTTGGTTCTCAGGCCGAGGAGCCTTCCTCGTGCAGCAGGGCCGTGGTGGCCCCAGCTGGGAACCATTCGGTGGAGGAGGAGGCGGTCCCTGCTTCCTCGGTCGAGCCTCCCCCCCCTCGGAGGAGGAGGTCCGTCAGGCCCGTCAGGCCCGAGAGCTCAGCGTCGCTTCTAAGTCCCTCCGCCTTCTTGAAGCCGCTCGGAGCGGCAGTGAGGGAAGGAGGGACCTGGATGCTGAGTCGGGTTCTTCTGACTAATAGTATCCTGCCACCTTCGTGGCTTTACCTCCTTGCCTCAGTGGCATGGTGGATGCAGCAGCGATTTCCCAGCCGTCGCTGCTGACAGTGAGAGGCTGTGCGGGCGTTGAGCTCCAAAAAAAAAGCCTCAGCCTCAGCCTCAGTCTCAGCCTGCCTCGGCATCAGCCTGCCTCAGCATCAGCCTCAGCCTGCCTCAGTCTCAGCCTCAGCCTGCTTCAGCCTCAGTCTCAGTCGGCCTTCAGCCTCGGCCTCAGCCTCAGGCTGCCTCATCCTCAGCCTGCATCAGCCTCAGCCTCAGCCTCAGCCTGCCTCAGCATCAGCCTGCCTCAGCCTCAGCCTCAGCCTGCCTCAGCCTCAGCCTCAGTCTCAGCCTGCTTCTGCCTCAGCCTCAGTCTGCCTTCAGCCTCGGCCTCAGCCTCAGCCTGCCTCAGCCTCAGCCTGCATCAGCCTCAGCCTCAGCCTCAGCCTGCCTCAGCATCAGCCTGCCTCAGCCTCAGCCTCAGCCTGCCTCAGCCTCAGCCTCAGCCTGCTTCAGCCTCAGCCTCAGTCTGCCTTCAGCCTCGGCCTCAGCCTCAGCCTGCCTCAGCCTCAGCCTGCCTCAGCCTCAGCATCAGCCTGCCTCAGCATTCAAAATGTGGCCCGGGAATGGAGTTCTGGGAACTCGAAGAACACGAAGTGGCCTACAGTTGGCTCCGGGCATTCAAAATCATGCCCAGGAATGGAGTTCTGGGAACTCGAAGACCACGAAGTGGCCTACAGTTGGCTCCGGGTATTCAAAATCATGCCCAGGAATGGAGTTCTGGGAACTCGAAGAGCACGAAGTGGCCTACAGTTGGCTCCGGGCATTCAAAATCATGCCCAGGAATGGAGTTCTGAAACTCGAAGACCACGAAGTGGCTTACAGTTGGCTCCGGGCATTCAAAATCATGCCCAGGAATGGAGTTCTGGGAACTCGCAGAGCACGAAGTGGCCTACAGTTGGCTCCGGGCATTCAGAATGTGGGCCGGGAATGGAGTTCTGGAAACTCGAAGAACACGAAGTGGCCTGCAGTTGGCTCCGGGCATTCAGAATGTTGCCCAGGAATGGAGTTCTGGGAACTCGAAGACCACGAAGTGTGCAACTGTTTGCTTAAAACGATTTCCGCGGATCCCTATCCGGATGCAGGCCAGACCCCCCTGGGGTGTCATGATGCTCTTGTCTGACCCTATTAAAAACCTATCAGTCTTCGCTGTTAGGTAAGAAAGCGCGCATGATAACGCGCGGTGCCCCTCTGGAAGCCCATTGGCACATGGCGCGGTCAACCTGCCCTTTGCGAGGGCTTCTTGTCGACAGTAAAAAAGATGCATGATGCGCACGCGCTGCGGGCTCCATGGAATTTCGGACGCCGTTCGGGCGACGCGGGCGCGACGGGGCGCGATCGAAGGGCGTCGAACAGAGGCGACAAACGCGGGGCACGGGGGACGCGCAGAGGGAACCATGGGGGCACAGGGGACAAAGGAAGGGGACAACGGGGACAACCAAGGGGGACAACGTGGACAACGTCGGAACCCAAGCGTGGAATCCAGGAACCTAGGGGCCCAGGAACCCAGGAGCGTAGGAACCAAGGAACATAGGAACTAGGAACCCAGGCACCCAGGAACTTAGGGACCCAGCCCTGGATCAACGCAGAATGTTTGAAAACATTTTAGAGCAGCCTCGATGCGTTGAGCCTCCTTCGATTGCGGGGGTCTTGAGTTTCAAACGTTCTTGGTGCATGTTGGACAATCTTGCGAGAACCTTTGCACCCCAGAACATAGGAACGAAGGCTTGGATCAACGCAAATTATACGAAATTGAACGCAACCTCGGCGTGTTTAGCCTTTTTTGCGATAATCATGCGAGAGCGCAGGGACTTAGGAACGCAGGAACCTAGGACCCTAGACCTGGATAGACGTGAAAGCTCTTAAGGAATTAAGCTCCACGGCGGACAGTTGCTTTCGCATGAGATCGATGACCAAAGTTATCCACGCGAGCAACGGAACCCAAATAGTAGGCCGTTGTTGGGAATGCTCGAGAGCACGGTTGGACGCGGTCACTTGTTGGGTCTTCCGAAAATTTGTCGGCGATCGAGTGCGATTTGCCCTGATATGTTCTTGAACTTTTGTTAGCAGATTGGCCAGAATCTGTTTCTGGTGACTGGCGAGATGCTCTGGTGCGGGTGGCAGAAATACCGTTGCTTGTAGATTCCCGCGCATGAGAGTCGTGCATAGCAGCCCTGTGCTGCATCTAATACGGTGAGAGAAGAATTTGTCGGTCACATACACACATACATACTTATACGACCACCCTTCGGGTGATAAGGAGCTTGTTGGGGGGGAGAGGGGGGGGAACCACCATCTGACTCAATCGATCTCTCTACATCGATCTCACTCAACGGGACACCACGGGACACTTGTCGATCTCATTATCGATCTCACTATCGATCTCACTCAACGGGACACCAAGGGACACCTCGGGCCACCACGGGACACCACGGGACACCGCGGGACATTTCTCGATCTCACTATCGGTTTCACTATCGATCTGACTGTCGATCTCATTCAGCGGGACACCACAGGACACCATGGGACCCCTCGGGACACCACATCGCTCTCACTATCGATCTCACTATCGATCTCACTCAGCGGGACACCTCGAGGCACCACATCGATCTCACTATCGATCTCACTATCGATCTCACTAAACGAGACACCACGGAACACTTCGGGACACCTGTCGATCTCACTATCGATCTCACTATCGATCTCACTCAGCGGGACACCACTGGACACCTCGTGGCACCACATCGATCTCAGTATCGATCTCACGATCGATCTCACTCAACGGGACACCACGGGACACCTGTCGATTTCACTAGTGATCTCACTATCGATTTCACTCAACGGGACACCACAGGACACCTCGGGGCACCACATCGATCTCAGTATCGATCTCACGATCGATCTCACTCAGCGGGAAACCACGGGACACCAGCGGGACACCGCGGGGCACCGGCCGCCGGAGGAGTTACATTTGGTCCGGCCGCGGCCCAGCCACAGGAGGATTTCGGGACACCGGCGGGACACCGCGGGGCACCGGCCGCCGGAGGAGTTACATTTGGTCCGGCCGCGGCCAAGCCACAGGAGGATTTCCTCTCGCCCTCCCACCCAGCTTCGCCTCGCCCGCCCGCACGCACGGCACGCACGACACGAACCCGAAACCGAAATCGATTTCCCAGTAGTGGGGGTCTCCGTTTCACGTCGGATTCACCCCCTAACCTCCGATACGTATACATAGGTATAAATATCACCCCCCTTTTCCTCCCCTGTTCTACTTTGTCCCAACTCTCCTCCTCCTTCTGTTCCTCCTCCTCCTCCTCCTCCTCCTCTTCCTCCTCCTTTCCCTCCTCGTCCTCGCCCGTCAGACGGGGACCAGGCGCCCAGAGCGCGCGCCACGGCCTTCCCTCAACGCCCAGCGCGCGCCGGCGGCAAGGCGGTGGTGATGTGCCAGAAGGCAGGTTGGGGCGTCGCCGCCTCGGTGTTCGCCATGCCGCAGCGAGGACGGCGGCGGCGACGACAGCGGCGGCGGCACCCGCACCCGCGGCGACGACGGCGGCAGCAGCAGCGGCGGCCACGGCGGCGGCGACAGCGACGACGGCGGCGGCGGCATGGCGGCGGCGGGGATGGCGGCGGCGAGGACGATGGAGGAGTGGGAGACGAGAGGGGGAGGCACCCGCCTGGGACGAGCCCAGGGACGGCCTTCGACGTCGTCGAACCGTTCGAAGGCGCGCATCGATCAGATCTGGAGGCCTCGCTTCTCTCCGTGACAGAGCTCGTGAAGACCACTACATACCCGAAGCCCGAAGCGTCCGTCATGCAAGCTCTCTGTCTCGTACTAATCCAGCTCCTGCTCTGGGTCTGGCGTTCAGTCGGGGCTCGAGTGAGGATCGGCTCCGGTTCGGACGGGCCTCGCTGTCCCTCAGGTCCTTGCATGGTCGCTCCTCTAGCGCTCATCGTGTACCCAGGTGCTCTTTGGCGGCGAATTGGGGACGTCGCTCCTTCTTTAGCGTCCCTTACGACAGCAGAATGACCGCGCATACTGATACAGTCAACCCGCATAATAAGGATGGGTGACCTTCCCGAGGGTCCCCTTGCATCGTTGCCTCCTCGATCCATATTTGGCCACTTTCTTTGGCCGCGCCCCGTTCGAAAAGCTTCGAATTGGACTTCCAATGCCCTCGCATCCTTACCGCGCATCCTTATGATACGGGCCGACTGCACGTGTGTTCGTATCCCGTCGGGGCATTCATCCATACACGCTCATGAGCCCCAGGAGCTCCGACGTCATGGCCCTTGGGAGCACGTCCGCTTCGTCGACCTGAGCATATGTGAACAAGTGGTGCTCGACGCCAAAGAGATGGTGTGTCGTGAACGGCCACAGTGTGCATGATTGGCCCGCTTGAGGGCCCGGCACCCTCTCAGGACCGTCCCACTGGGCCTCTCTCTCTTCTCGTGTCGTTCCAGCCTTTCGCTCCCGGCGACCCGCTTGGCCGCCGTCGGATTCACTTCGGCGCCACCCGAGCTGCTGTCATCGGAGCCGTGAGCTCGTCACGGTCGTGGCCCAGCTCCGCGAGGTGGAAGCACGAGACGCCTTGTTTCAGGAGGGAAGAAAACACACAGACACAATTAATCGTCGATTCCCAAGAAAATATGGGAAAATATGGGAAGTGGGGGGGAAGACAAAAACCCAGAAATTATGGGAAAATATGGGGAATCCTTTTATTTGTGTGTATTTATTTGTGTGTCTCAGGGCCCCTTCGTTGTTGCAGCGAGGGCAGAAAGGCGCAGACCGTCGGCCCACGCGCGCCCCCCACCACGGGCGCGATCGCCCCATAGGGCGACTGCGACGGCGACGGCGACGGCGTCTCTCTCTTGGGCTCCTCGGCCACGAGCCCCGCCTCGTCCGCCTGGGATTCGGTCGGGCATGTCCCCCTGCAGGAGGAATACTCCGGAGTAGTCCAAAGATAGTCTGGGGACGATATGTTTCCATCATCTTCGACTATCCTGGAACACTGTTTGACTATGCTTTTTCTTCCTGCCAGAAGCCGCCTGTAGGAAGTCATGCCCGACCTAGGCCTGGGGCCGCAGGTCGCAGGATTCCAGCAGACCCGGCACGCAGCTCTGCTAGTTCCCCGGACCGCTTGCTCGGCACGAACGAGATGGGTACGGAAAGAATGGGCACAATGCCCAGCAGCAGTTCCTGCTGATTTTGAACAGGACTCGCTGTCCGCGCCGCCGCGGCCTGTGCAAACTGTGTCCATTCGAGACAAACGGCCGCCTGCCCGACAGCGGCCGCTGCTGGTTTGGGACACCATTTGCTGTTGGGCATGGTGCCCATTCTTTCCGTACCCATTCCGGGCATCCAAATTTGCGTCTGCAAGATCGGCCGGGGATGGCACCAGACAGGGTGCAGAGGCGAGGGGGGCCAGCACGGGGACCGTGAGCGAGATGTCGCAGGCATCTGCCGGTGCCGATCCTGGGCACGGCCCATGGCGTCCACTGCCAGGTCACGAGGACGCTCCGCGAAGCGACGCGGACCAACGACACAACGCCTCCGCGGTCAGTCTTAAGTCGGGACTGTCCCTCTATCGGGGGAAGATTCAGAAATAGTCAAAAAATTGGCAGTGTTTGCATATTTTCGATATTCTTTAGTTTTCGTCCAGAATCCGCGTGTAGGGGGACATGCCCGACCTAAGATCAGTATTGGTCGTGCGCCCCGCTCCCTTCCAGCCCCCAACACAGAGCGCCCTCTCCCTCGAGGCTTTTGGACGACGAGGCCGCAAGGCTCCCTCCAGGCGAGCCTGGGCTCGTCCACGGCCGTATCTCACAATTCAGATTTGAGTTGAAGTCGGGCCTATCCCTCTACAGGAGGGATGTCCAAAAATAGTCCAAACAATATTATGGGGACTATTGTTGTAGTAGCCCCACACGAGCTTGGACTTAGGTCGGGCATGTCCCTCTCCAGGAGGAATCTCCAAAATTAGTCAAAAGATAGTCTAGGGGCGATGTGTTCTACTATGTCTGAAAAATGTTTTAGATTAGTGTTTGACTATGATTCAGTTTTGTTTCCAAAAGCCGCCTGTGGGAGGACATGCCTGGGTTGAGCTTGGACCTCACCACCGTCGACGACTCCCCCGCCATGGACTTCACGCTTGAGACGCGAACTTCCCACCTGGCACACTTCACTTGCAGTTCCTTGCCAGCTTGCCACATTTCGAGCTCCAGATCCGGACAGCTCCCTCGCCACTCCACCCGGCGTCGGTCTGATCGACGTGGTTTCATGCCTCTCCCAGTCCACCTCGTCGTCCGTCCTCAGCGTCAGCGGCTCCGCTTCGGACAGATGGGGCATCAGCCGATGGCGACAGGTCGAGAATCTTCGGTCCCTCCGCCCCTGCCCTCGGGACCGATGTCTGGGCCCCGACCGGGTCGCGCAGACCTTCCATCCCAAGCGGCCCTCGGCTCCGCCACCTGGGCAGGCCCGCAACGATACGCCGATGAAGCCTGGGTGGCCGCCCGATCGCGGGTGGCCTGCCGGCCGCACAGGCAAGACTGCTGAAGTTTGATCCCGCCGACGAGCGGAGGGAGGGGAAGGACGCAGTATTAAGTTGGGCGCGTGCCCCTACAGGGGGTTTGGATGAAAAGTAAAAAATATTCAAAAGATGTTCAAAAGTACTCAAAAGATAGTCCCCATACTATTTTTCACTATTTTCGAATATTCCCCCTGTAGAGGGACAGGCCAAACGTCCCAGGTGGGGGTGAGCACGAGCTAAGTATGCGCCCAGAAAAAAAAACTAGCATTTCCTTTCTGGGTGGAGGGCAAAGGGTGAACTTTGAAGTGCCATTTCGATGGGTTATCGAAATTTGAATCTGCCAAAGTAAAACCACAAGACGAGTTGATTTTCGAGGTGCAACAGCCCATATGGATTTCACCCTGAGCCCTCCACCCTCAGAAAATGCTCAGAAAAAGTGTCCTCGTCAACGCTTCAGCTCACGCGTGTTAGACAGACAGCCGCGTCGTGAGGAGGGCCCTTCGAGGAGAAGGTGCGAAGAGTTGAGGAGCAGGACTAGTCAGGCTTTCATCGCCTCGAGTGGTTCCATAATGCGTGCCGGCGTCGGCGGGCAGCATCGATCGACTGCTGCGCAACCACCAGGGTTCAGTCGGGCATGTCCCTCTACAGGAGGAAAATTCAACAATGGTCAAGAAATGGTCCGGGAACGATGTTTTGACCATTCTTAAGCATTCGTTGGACATGTTTGGGGCATCTTGTATTGCTCGTCCAAAACACGCCTGTCGGGGAGACAGGCCCGACCCAGCGCGATTCCCACTTGCTGATGGGGTTCGACCAGGTCGATCCGCTTACGCAAGCGCTTCGGCCGATTCGCGAGCCGCGTGCAGCTCTTGGACGGCCGTGCTAAGGAGGAGGAGCGAGGAGGAGGAGCGAGGAGCGAGGAGGAGGAGCGAGGAGCGAGGAGGAGGAGGAGGAGGAGGAGGGGGAGGAGGAGAGGAGGAGGAGGAGGAGGAGGAGGAGGAGGAGGAGGAGAGGAGGAGGAGGAGGAGGAGGGGGAGGAGAGGAGGAGGGGGAGGGGGAGGAGGGGAAGGAGGGGAAGGAGGAGAAGGAGGGGCAGGAGGAGGAGGAGGAGGAGGAGCGAGAAGGAGGAGGAGGAGGAGCCCTGCCGAGGTCATGGTCTCGCACCGCTCCGGCGAGACCGAGGACTCGGGGCTCCCATCCGTACGATGACGTTTCTTGTAGCGGTTATTGGATCTGCAGTGGCGAAGTGGTTACATCTCTGGGTGCATGCACGTGGTCAGCAATTTGTTGGGCTCTGCAGTGTTCCGCGAGAAACGAAACGTTAGCCCGATGCTGCAATGATTGATCGTCGAAGTTTCCGCCCAGCTCGTTCGTCTAAACGTGCTCGGGAGATTACCCGCCCCGCCTGGGGTAAACATGTCAAACAATATTGGGAAGGCCGAACTGGCAGGAGGCATGCTAGTGGTGTAGGGTCGCGGTTTAGAAGAGACAGCGCCCCGCGTCCTCCTCCCTCCTTCCCTCCCTTCCTTCCCCTCCTCCTCTTCCTCCTCCTCCTCCTTCTCCTGATTATCCGTAAGGGCTTCGCCCCCTGCCGCCGGCCCCCTCTCTGGGAGAATGGGCCATGGAAGAGCGAAGTCATGAGGCCTTGGCGCTGTTGTGAAGCAGTATCGAAACTTCACGCGAAGCCGATTCGCAATCAGCAAAACCAACTGATCACAAGAGGGGTTACCACACCTGGCGATTGGTAAGACGTGTATGGTGTACGGGCTTGGTTACCACACCTTGCGATTAAAGGGCCGAGGGAGTTCTCGCAGTTTGGGTTACCACGCCTTGCGATGGATGTGCGTGAGGGGTGGCACCGAATTTCAGAAATGTGGCCCATCCCCTGTGTTTTTTTACCCTGACCCCGCGGATCTGCGTGAGGGGTGGAACCGAATTTCAGAAATGTGGCAAATCCCCTGTGTTTTTGGACCCTGATTCCGCGGATCTGCGTGAGAGGTGGCACCGAATTTCAGAAATGTGGCAAATCCCCATTGTTTTTGGACCCTGACCCCGCGGATCTGCGTGAGGGGTGGCACCGAATTGCAGAAATGTAGCAAATCCCATGTGTTGTTGGACCCTGACCCCGCGGATCTGCGTGAGGGGTGGCACCGAATTTCAGAAATGTGGCAAATCCCATGTGTTTTGGACCCTGACACCGCGGATCTGCGTGAGGGGTGGCACCGAATTTCAGAAATGTGGCAAATCCCATGTGTTTTTGGACCCTGACCCCGCGGATCTGCGTGAGGGGTGGCACCGAATTTCAGAAATGTGGCAAATCCCATGTGTTTTTGGACCCTGACCCCGCGGATCTGCGTGAGGGGTGGCACCGAATTTCAGAAATGTGGCAAATCCCATGTGTTTTTGGACCCTGACCCCGCGGATCTGCGTGAGGGGTGGCACCGAATTTCAGAAATGTGGCAAATCCCTGTGTTTTTGGACCCTGACCCCGCGGATCTGCGTGAGGGGTGGCACCGAATTGCAGAAATGTGGCAAATCCCTTGTGTTTTTGGACCCTGACCCCGCGGATCTGCGTGAGGGGTGTCGATTTCGAGCCCCCCCAGCAATTCAGACAACGCGCCCAGGTGAGGCTAAAAATCTTGTTTGGGCCTCCCCCCCCATCGCGCGGTCAATCAACTAGTTACAGTAACCAGCAAGAAGTCAACTAGTTACAGTAACCAGCAAGAAGCAGAACTGTAACACTGGAAACTACAACCTACGACTGGCACAGGAAACTGCGAATCACGCGCCTCGCAGCCTGGTGGCCCCACAAGGGGGCCGGCGGATCCTCCTCCTCCTCATTATCCTTCTCCTCCTCCTCTCCCTCATTATCCTCCTCCTCCTCCTTCTCTTCCTCGTCCATTCTCCCCTGCGCGTCTCTGCTCTCCACAAATCAACCAGCTCGGCACACCCCTCACACGCTTCGTGGCCCCATGAGGAACTCCACCGAAGGCCCCAGTGGCGACTTGCGCATGCGGCCGCCCCAGTCAGTAAAACGCTTCGTGGCCCAATAGGGAGCTCCACCAAAGCCCCAGTGGCGACGTTCGCATGCGCCCGCCCCACCCAGTACAGTGCTTCGTGGGGGCTCGTGAAGAGCTCCACCGAAGGCCCAAGTGGCGACGTTCGCATGCGTCCGCATCATCCATTACAGCGCTTCGTGGCCCCATTTGGAGCTCCACCGAAGTCCCCAGTGGCGACGTTCGCATGCGTCCGCCCCCCCCATTACAGCGCTTCGTGGCCCCACAGGGGGGCTCCACCGCAGGCTGAGGCGACATTCGCATGCGTCTGCCCCACGGTACAGCGCTTCGTGGACCCATAGGGAGCTCCGCCGAAGTCCCTAGTGGCGACGTTCGCATGCGCCCGCCCCTCCACAGTGCAGCGCTTCGTGGCCTCAGAGGGAGCTCCACCGAATGCGCCAGTGGCGACGTTCGCACGCGTCCCCCCATTTCCGGAACAGCCCTCACACGATTCGTGGCCCCATAGGGCGTTTCATTGACGGCCCCGGTGGCGACGATCGCATGTGTCCCCGCGCCTCATTTCGGCACACCTCTTACGCATTACGCAGCCCCATAGGGAGCTCCTCCGAAGGCCCCAGTGGCGACGTCCGCATGCGCCCCCGCCCCCAAGTTCTGCACACCCCGCACACGTTTCTTGGCCCCATCGGGAGTCCGAAGGCCTCAGCGGCGACGTTCGCATGGCGGCCCCAGTAGCGGCGCCCGAATGGCCCCCACCTCATTTCGGCACATCCTATACAAGCTTCGTGGCCCCATGAGGAGATCCACCGAAGGCGGTACCCACAATGGCGATACTCACAACTGCATATGTTTGGGTCCTTCGCCAGGGTAACCATGCCGCCTAGGGGGTGGGGAGGGCAAGGAAGAGTAGGGACAGGGAGGAGGAGGAGGAGGAAGGAGGAAGAGGAGGACGAGAGGGGGGGAGGACGTTGAATTGGGAGGAGGACGAAGGTGTACTTGACGGTCTGCTGGCCCCTGCCCTTGAAATGGGTGGTGGAGCCACTGTTGTCGCCCCAGAACATCCAGGTGCCGCAGAACAGACATCGGTGTCGGGAGTTCTCGGCCATGCCTTCTCGCCGCATCCCTCGTCCACCATCCATCCCTCGTCCTCTCCCTCCCTCCCCCTGCCGTACGTGGCAAGAAACTGCGCGCAGTGCGCCTTCACAGAGGCTTCCCGCTCACTCTGGTGGCCGATAGCCCACAAGCGGACTTATCCTCTCTGCACCAGCACCAGCCGCAAAGCCTGGCAGAACACCATCCGGGCAAGCATCCCCAGCGGCAGAAGAGGGAGAGGCATGTCAAGCCTCTGGCCCTTCCGTGAGCAGCACAACTTTGTTGTCAAGTGAGCGCTGCCCTCCTCCCTCCCAGGACCCCTTCCGATCCGAACGATCCGATCCGATATCGATTCCGTCCAGCTCGGTCCGAGTCGGCCTCGATATTCCGACGATCCGATGCGGCCCGATACTTGCAGAGCGTTGCTGTGCATACTGGCGCGGCCGATCCGACTCGGCTCCGACTCCGTACCGATGTGGCCCGACGAGGCGCACTCTCCGACTGGATCCGTTCTCCCTGCTCGATGCCGGCTGATCTTGCCCCTGGCATAGATCGGGGCCAGGATCGAGATGTAGCGTTCCAGAGCGTTCCGGAACGCTCTTCCGGAGCCCTTTGGAATGGCCGCGGCGCCTGAAAGATAATCTAGCGCCGCCAGATGTCTGATCCCCGCTTTGTCCCGGTCCGACTTTGCCCCTGTCCCTGGTTTCGTCTTGTAGCAAGCCTGAAGCAGTCGGGCATGTCCCCCTGCAGGAGGAATATTCAAAACAGTCAAACAATTGTCGGGGGACGATTCTTCTGGTATTTGTCGACTAGTTTTGGGTACTTCCTGAGTCTTCTTCACCTCTCGTCCAAGGCGAAGGACATGCCCGAGCTCAAGCGATCCGACCCCTCAGAGAACGACTGCTCTGCCTCGCCCCGGCGCGCGGGGCCCGCGGCCCGAGGGGGAAGCCGCTTGGCGGGGCCGGAGCCCGAGGGGACGGGGCCGGAGCCCATGCGGGGCGGGGCCGGGGCCCAGCGCAGGGCATGTCCAGAGCCCCAGGCAAGGGGACCTGGTCAGTGGTACGGTAGGTTCGCGTCGTGTCGACCGGCCGCGGCCCAGCCGCCGACGTTCAACGTTGAACGCCGACGGCGGCCCAGAATCGGTCGATGTGGAACGATTTGGGCGTTGCGGAGACGGCCGATCGTTCAAGGTTGAACGATCCAGCGCGGTGTCAGGAACCAACGCCAGGGTCGACACGGCACGGACCTGCAGTAGGGCCCCAGGGAGCCCTTGAACTAGCCAGAGTCACCAACCCAGGTCTGCCGCAGCTGGTGCTTTTCCGGGCGACAGCAGTTCCGGCTAGGGGAACGGGGCGGGGGGGGGGGGGGCGCCCCCCAGGACACATCGCCGAAGCATGCCCCACTGAACCCGGTTCTGCCAACGCCCGACGGAGCCCAACGGGACGGGGCCAGAGCCCGACGGGCGGGCAAGAGTCACGTCTGAAGTCCCCGAGATCTCGGCGCCCGGACTTGTTCGAGGCAGGCGTGTTCGCCTTCCTGCGAGGGCCCCGGGGCCCTCGCAGGTCGATCCGGCTCCCCCAAAAGGGAGGCAGAAGGACGGGGTCAGAGGCTCTGGGCGCGATTTTTCGTGATGCTGCAATTTGTCTGCAACGTCGGATTTCAGGGGCCGTTACTGCATGGTCAGATTGGCAGCGAGAAGCGAATCGTATCCCTTCAGGGATCTCACTCGGTTTTCATCGTGCTCCGTGGGCATCTCTGCCGTCCATGGCCCCATGATGTGTGATCTCTGAGTGCTCCAAGACGGACTCATTTAGGCTCAAGTCAGTCCAAGACGGTTTTCTGATTGCTCAAGAGGCCCCCAAGATGGAATCCCGCAGGAATCCTCAGGGATCCGTAAGGACCCCCCAGGAATCTTCAGGAATCTGTCCGAAATCATCCAGGGACCCCATAGGAAGCCTCTGGAGTCTTTCAGGGATACTACAGGAATATTTCTCGAGTCCTCCAGAACTCCTTCAGGAATCCTCCAGCAATCCTTCAGCAATCCTACAGGAAACCTTCAGAATCCTTCAGAAGTCC